GAAAAAATAAATTAATAAAATTAATAAAAAATGTAAGAAATTGATTTAGTCGACTCCGTTGGTGTTGAACTCGCTTGAGGTGATCTTCCCTTAAGTTGATCTTTTTCTTGGGACCCAACACTCTCTTTTCCTTTACAATTCCCAATGGTTACGTTGAACTTCGGGTGAGTTAATCTTTTTATCACTCCTCCGACGACATCAACTCATCCGTGGTCGACTGTAAAGTAAAGATGTTCCCGCATCCGATCCGGACACATATGGGAGTGCCTTGTTAGTTTGGGTTTTTTAAAAATAGTCTATGAGTTTTACGGCACTTTCAACCCAATAAGGTCGTACATGTATAAGTGCCGAAGATTACAATTAGTTTTAGTAAGTTAGTAAGTGTTTTACGGCACTTGCAACACAATAAGGTCATATAAGTGCAGAAGATTAGAGGTGTTACAAGAGAGTAACAACAAACACGAAAAAGAAGGAGGGGAGATAAAGACGATAGATGTTTGATAGGAAAGAAGAAGCAAACCGCACCAGAGCACCCGCTAACCACTAACCACCCACGAAGATTAGGGGTGTTACAAGAGGAACAAACATGAAAAAGAAGGAGAGATAAAGACGATAGTTGATTGATAGATAGGAAAGAAGGAGCAAACCACACCAGACCACCCGCCAATCACCCACTGTCTCGAAGTTGTTAGTGAGACAACTTCCTATTATATTATAAAATATTGTTGTAGGGTCGACTGTAATTAAATTAAATCTGACAGATGGCGCTCATACGACCTTATACAGTTGCGAGCGCCGTTAAACCTCTACTAAAACTAAACAGGATGCTAGTCTTTTTAGTTTATTATAGGTTTTACGGCGCTCGCAACTGCATAAGGTCATATGAGCGACAAGGGGTGGGTGTCAACAGAGAAGTCTTTAGAGGGAATCAGACTTACTCTGATCGTCTCTCTAACTTCAACAGCACAAGGTCTGCTTCAACTATCAAGGCACCCCGGAAATAGCAGGTCACAAGAGTGACAAACATACAAAAGAAGTACAGGAAAATGACAATCTACCAAAAGAAAAAGCAACAGTTCCCTGTTGTAGATCAGGCACAGTTATGAGCGTGACATGAATCAGCCCATTTATAATTCTACTGTGCTTGAACGTAAATGCCCCCCCCCCCCAGGGGCGGTTTGTTAACTGGGCAAGACCGGCGGTGCCAGTCAGATTTTTGTCAACTGAACTGTTGACTAGAGGTTTATTGCTGATGACGATTTTCATTCAGTTTTAAGTAAATCCAAACAAACATGTATCAACATTCAAAAACACCTTGCCGATTTGAAGGCGCTCAAATAGACAAGTGGGATTCACTGCTGTTTTGTCGCGACATAACTGTGATTGCGAGGTAGAAAGACTGTACTTACCGACTGGCGTCAACTCACTGGTAGGACAAGATGTGAGGATCTGCAAGGTGGCGACGCGCATGCGCTGGCCGGCTTAGATCGCGTCGTCAGGCCCTCAGAGGTCACTTCGCCGGTAGCTACGACCACGTCGGCCATTCTGGTCTCTAGCAGAACTGAGACGGGTCAGAAGGGGCGCACAGAATTCCCGCCTTGCCTTTATACCCATGTTTCAGCGCCCCTAGTGTCACGGGGCGGCAACTCTGTTCGGCCCGCCCAGCGCCCCCTAGTCTCATGGGCCCGTAACTCTCAATTATTCATCTCTCCAATAACACGCCCCCTTGATTTATAACTAAATCAACTACCTCGATCCCATTCCACCATCCCATGTTCATTCCCCACCCTATCAGATAAGCACCAGCAAAACAAAAACAAAAAGAACAACTTTAACAAGAAAGATTCCATCCAATATACGGCAACACAAGAGTCTCGAATCTAATGGTCCTCCGCAAAGGTACATCCCTTGCCCTGACAGAACGTACTCAAAAAAGCTCGTCTCCAACTACAAAACTTAAAAACTTAAACAAGACATGAAGCGAACGCTGTGACTACCTGTCATTCGATCGCATACGTATAAGCAAAACATATGTAGTTATCTCGACCGGTCCAACTACTTATATCATCGAACCATGCCCACAGCCCGACAAGTATCGCGGAAAGGCGCATCCTCCTCCCTGACGCAGAATATTCAAAAAAGATTGTAACATGACCTCTATTCACAAGACTTAAACACAACCCGAAGAGAACGCTCTGACTACCTGTCAAACGATCACCTACGTATAAGCAAAGCATACATAGTTATGCAAAAGGCCCCTTCCCTCAACGTTACCTCCCATCCCTGCCTCCATGTTAATACTACATCGCATAATCTTCATGCCACGCTGGCTCCCGCCTGTGTCGCTGAGGATACCGACGTCCGGCTTCTGCCCGTGGTTGCACCTCCTGAGCCTCCTCGTGGACTGCCCCATGCTGGTCACGATCTCCGGCGACCCTCACATCCTGTATATGCCGAGGCATATGGTCCACTTCGACATTCTTCGTGGAGTTGATCTTGGTCACAACTCCCAGATCCCATTGAGTTGTGCACTTGGCATCAGGTGGTTTAACCCACACCTCGTCACCCACTGTTACTGTAGCGGATGACTCTCCCTCGTGTTCCGCCGGAACAACTATTGGTAGTCTCCATTCATATCTCATGACCGACCTTTGAGCACAGGGGTCTCTTCTTGTCTATATCTCGGTGAACAATTGTAATAAAATACTGCATCCACCGGCGACATGTTTCCTCGCTCCGCTATCGCTTTGATAGTCCGATGATTCCTTTCCTCTATTCCATTCCCCCCCGGTCGATAGGCCGCTCTGAAGAAAGGCCTCACGTTCCATCCTGCAAGGAAATCCATAAAAGCCTTCGATCTAAAGGCTGCCGCGTTGTCCATCAGCACTTCAGTGACTGGGCCTCGCTCGTAAAACACCTGCCTCAATTCAGAAATAATTTGCTCCGTTTGCTCATTTCTCAACCGTCGCCAGATCGCGAATCTACCTGGGCCGCAATCCACCATTGACAAGTACGGCACCCCGCAATAATGGGTAACGTCAATCGCCAAACGTTCCCAATTCCTATCTATGCTCAGCTCCCCAACCGTGTGTCCGACCGGTGCGGGATCGATGGATTGACATTTCTCACAACCCCTCACCACATCCTTCATCTGATCTTTCGTGATGCTTGGGTCCACCTGTCGTGCCAGATACCATGACCTTTCCACAGTGGCGGCTCGTGGTTTATAGAACTGACCGGCGGTCATTCACGTCGA